AGAAGTAGTGTCAATAGTAGATACAACACATTCAGTAACATTTATTATTATTCATACTTAATTACTCATTATTTTTTAAAAACTGTTGCAAGTTGCCAATATGTATGACAAACAATGCGAGGTTCAGTTAATGTGTATTTTGGTTTTAACGGTTTTACAGTCTATAAGTATTACTCTATTCTACGAATAAACGACTTGTAATTTATTGTGGGGATACAGGCAAAACTGTGCCCGGCCGGTGTCCAGTGGACAAACAGTTTATATAAATCATGGAGGTATATTATTTAGTTGGCTGTATAAAATAAAGGTCCATTAACAGTTATTTTAAATCCCCTTTCTTCTTCTATTTTTATTTATAAATGTATTCACTACCTATTTAATATTTACTAAAATTCGTTAATTTTTTTTTAATACACTTATATTTTTGAAGTAGTTATCCGCCTGAAGAACACTTAAGGATAGGGCAATAATTGCAAAACGTCAAGTAAAATTTATAGGTACATTTGGTACGGGCCCCTCTCCCTCTTATACCTCTCCAATGAAATTTATTCATATAAATTTATAATTTCATACTAAAGACTAATTATAAAAATTGTAAATTAATAACGCATTATGCCTAACAATGATCATCAATTTAATAACCCATAGATACACTTATTCTTAGAAATGTGTACAAAGTTATGTAACAATTACCTAATAGTTGAAATATAACATTCAACATTAGTTGAAATATAATTCTTCTCTTCTATAATTTAAAAATAAAATAAAAAAATCCAATTTGCACCATAAATAAGTTTATTTTAAAGTAAACTTCCATATCAAACATAAGTAAATATAGACAACTTATATAATACGTACCGCGTCTCTTTTCTTATTCTTTAGTGCTGTTATAAGTGTACTGCACTTTCTATTTAATCTTTTTTCTATGACATTGATCCGCGACTGCCATCCGCCGCCGTCCCGCGTATTCACTTAATATACTTCCATATTGTTTTCAAAGTTAATAAAAAAAACCACAACTTTTAATCCGGTTTTATCTATTTTCTTCAACCCCCCCTTACTTCCGTGTCAAATTTGGCTGCTCGCTGAGAAAAAAGTCCCGGTGTTCAGCGAAACCAGGTAGGATTATTTTGGCCGCTGTTTTACTGAGAAAATATTAGAATTCAACAAAAATGACCGTAAGGCAAAATATATTTTGGTTCAATGCATTGCTGATTCTCATCTTGAATATATTCGTGAGGCTAGTACTGCAAAAGAGATTTGAGATAGTCTTGACACGGCCTGCAAGTACATGTAACATCCGTTATTAGCGATTAAATGTGCGCCCGGTCGTGTTATCAACTGTCCACCGTCTCACCGCAGGTGGGAACGATAAACTACTATATCGGCCCGAGCTGGCCGTCGGTGTATGAAGAGGTTCGGGGGGTGTCATCTTTACAGCGAAACACGCCGGCGATGACCACTGTAGGCAATCCGATAATCAGTATTTGATTTAACATTGGTCCGGTTCTTGCCATCCGCCGCCGTCCCGCGTATTCACGTATTTCCACATTGTTTCTAAGTTAAAAAAATAAAAAAAAACCTTAACTTTTTTAAAATTCGGTTTTTTTGTTTCTATTTTCTTCAACCCCCCCTTACTTTCTTGTCAAATTTGGCTGCTCGCTGAGAAAAAAGTCCCGGTGTTCAGCGAAACCAGGTAGGATTATTTTGGCCGCTGTTTTACTGAGAAAAAATTTTACACTTGATTTAAATAATATTTAATTTACTTAAATTGTCAAAATATTTATTCGTGTGAATTTGGTTTTTTTTTTCCATCCTACTAGTGTAGTATGTACAACAAATATATACCTAGTTAGGCCACACACGTGACGTGCTAGTACCGCCGTACAATATACAGGTTAGGATTTTAGTAACGTTCACCTTGTTATTGTTATTGTAACGCATATCACACCCGCGTCCCGGTACCGTCCACCATACGATTAAGTTAAAAGTTACCAAATAACGATCACTGTTGGAAAATAAATTCACTTTCTTCGCATAATATTTTCACTAAATAACATAAATTTATATTTATTTATTTATTTTATTTTTCTTTCTCCGGCCATTTATTAAAAAGTAACCCGCACGGCCGAACGGATATTTGACTTACGCTATTTACTTCGGTTAAAAACGTACCAAATTGACGATTAAGCATATTTGCGAATAGTTACTACTTTTTTTTTAAGTGAAACCGGATAAAAGAAAATTAAAATATTGAAGGAAGAAATAAGGTTTGTATAATTTTTTTTTTTTAATTTATATAAACAAACAACATCTTATTTGGTTACTACTTTCAAGCAGCGTATGACGACAAAAAAAAAATAAGTAATAACAATTCTTTTGTTTTTCTCTTAAACGTTCCGGTTATTTGTTATTAGTTAAAAAAAAAAAAACCAAAGATAGGAAACAAATTTAACTTTTTTTTTCTCGGACGTGTAGTGACTGTATTGGTATTTGTATACTGGATTATATTTGAATCGCCAATACCCGCTCACCCCTACGATTTTTTTTCATTTCTCCTCTTTTTCTTAATTTATTATTATTTTTTTTTTAGTTTGCTTTATAGTAAAATAATCTTTAAATCAATCAATTATATATATATATATATATATATATATATATATATATTTTTCCTCTTTCTGTTGTTTATACTAACAACAAATAAAACATCAACACAACACATACATATATAAAAATTTTAATTTTAATAAATAAATTTTTTTTTTTTTAAATTTTTATTTGTCAAAAAAAAAAAATAAAAAAATCGGAAATTGAGAAAATATTAGATCAAATGTCGGTTACCGAAATCAGACGCGAATGCGCTTACCGAAACCTACCGTATACCGCTAGCCGTAACGACCTACATTGTGTACTAGAGAATGTGATTAGGGACGGAGGCTGTGATCCGTCCACTACCCTTCTACCACCTCGGCCCACGATTGTTGGTAATGCTTTAAATAATATTAACAGTTCTGTCAACCCGAGACCGATAGGCGAGTTAGAAGCGCAACAGTTACACAATGTAGAAGACAATAGGAATAGTGATGTCCAACAGGACCCACTAGACCTAACCTACGGCGACCTCGAATATGAGGACTCCCGCCGCCCACTCACTCCCACAAACACATACCGAGCTAGCGCGCCGAATGACCAATTCCCTGACCTTCACACAATTCACTAAATACGCTCAGCTAGTGAAGAGATAGGAGCAATTAGGCAAAACATTCGGACGCAAACTTCTATAGGGAACCTGGAACTAAGGATAACCGCTCTTGATACCGCTTTGTCACGGGTCTTAATGAATCAAACAAAAATTTTAAATAAAATTTCAAGTATTGAACAGGACGTCCAAACGGTTAGGTCAACAAACTGTAGTAGCTTTAGGCCAGTAGTACACCTACTGTAACGGTAGAAGATAGGCCACTCCCACCGCTAATTTGAACGTAAATAGAACTCGTATCGATAGTCAGCCCGCCTCATTCCGTGATAGGTTATTACAAACCGAAGAGGAGATCAGGCGAACGGTTAGTCCCCAGCTGACTTTATACGATACGGCCTCATTACACCAGTTAGGGAGCAAAGGGACAGCACAGGCCCCTCTAAATAGTACAAGCTGGGACCTAAACCCCCCCTAACTACCGTGTCAAATTTGGCTCCCCGGCGGAGAATCGAACCCCGGTCTTCCGCGTGACAGGCGGGGATACTTACCACTATACTACCGAGTACACATGCCCCGATAACACCAACGGCAGAGGAGGAAGAGGATGCAGCGATGGACGTCACCGTCGATAGTCAACTTGACCATACAATCGAGGAAATCGATATCTTCCTCCAACCACCGTCAGACACCATCTCATAACTCTTTTCCTTTCCCAGTCCCCTCCTTCTCAGTTCTACTACGCCCGCCCTTGACCATCAAGTCACCGGGGCGATGCGAGTGCTCTGATGGCCTGCTTGACTGAAAAGGTTTTAGCGATGTCACTCGAAGAACAGTTACAATTTCAATTATATTGTATAGTATCTGATATAATGTAAGCCTATCTGTTTAACAAAAAGCTGACATTAAGGCATTAGTGCATATAAATCCGGACTCTAGTTATAGTACATCTAATCTAACTTTGAGAAAAATGGTTTATTTAATATATATATTTAACACACTTACCTCTTGAGTCGTGGATTCTACTATACAAATAAAATAGTTGTTAATGGACTCTACGCTTCACATTTAAACTTCACAACAAACATAAAATTTTTGAGTTGTGTAAATTCGATATTTCAATGAACCAACACAATCCAGTAACCACGAATGTTGTGTGTACTCCGACATTTTTGCTACGAATGACAATTGTTTCAACAAAAATTGACACGAATACATACATTTACTATGAAATTATGTGTTCGCTACTTTTTTTTATGCCACGATATACAGTTACATCGAAGTCCTATTTTTAACTATTGCTTCGAATTCCATTTACCTAGACTTCCAGTTACATCGACATGACTTATCCAAAAATATTAATGTTATGATTTCGCTATTTTATAGGAATTTTACATTGATAAACATTATATTGATTATTGACCTTAAATTCTATTTAGACTGATATGACCCAAAAATTAATTTATTAAAAAATTATATTGAAAAACTGTAAATATGTAATATTATTCACTCTGTTACTTTATCTTTACAGATTTAGTATACTCAGAGCCGGATTTGCCTACAAGCAAAATAAGCATTGCTTACGGGCTTCGGAAAAATTCAGCCCATATTTAAAAATATATTTCAAGTTCTTAATTATTAATGAAAAAGCTAGAAAAAAGAGTTAAGGATGTATGGATGAAGAGGATAAACAAGTTAACAGTTGCAACGATGACAGTGACTAATTTTATAATATATATAAATGAATCTTTGACTATAATTTAATAATTTCTTAAACAGATTAAATGTTTTCAACCTGAATGATATGAACCGGATACTTTTCTGCCAAGGTCGTCTGGACTACATAGAAAACGGCGAAGTAGTCTTTGGAGGTTTAGTTTTTGCAAATACTGAGTTCTTGCAAAGTCATGCTGCATATTTTCGGTAGTCAACAACCAAGGCAATAGATGGTACATTTGGTATTAGGCCATTAGTTCCGAGGGATATTGACCAGGTAGTCACTGTACACGTGATCATGGACAATATAGTAAGTAATTTTCTATATATTATTTCATCGCTGATTAAAACCATTTACAAGTAAAAGTAATCAATAAAAATACTAAAATTATCAATTATCAATTAAACATTTTTTTAGATAAAGATGATAAGTTAGGTAAAAATAAAAAAAATAAAGTAAGGTGAGATCATATTATATTCCCTTTTTTTAGTCAGTTCCAATTGTATATGGATTATTAAATCGCCGTACAGAAAATGTTTACATACGACTTTTACGATATTTAAAAGAGGAGTTGCAATTCCAAGTGGCAAATTGGAGTAACCTCCAAGTCATAACCGATGATGAAACTGCGTTACGAAATGCAATCAGAAGGGTAATGCCAGAGGCTCAGTTAATGTTTGCTGTTTCACTGGGTTGCTGGTTTCACTATAATCAGGTTAGCCCACTAAAAAATTTTTAATAAAATTTTATTAAAATTAAAAAAAAAATCTATTTTACAGAGCATTATACGGTTTATACAAACCAATAATCTCGTTAACCAGGTTCGGAACAATATGAATATGGCAATAGTTCTGAGAATGGTAATTTTGTTTTATCTAAAAAAAATTAATAATTATAAAATACACTAATAATAATATACAACCAACATATCATGGCATTACCTCATTTACCCGCAAGGAGACCGGCTGGGTTCCCAGATGATGCTTTTATAATAACTGATGGGTACAGGGCAATAATTGAATTGGCGAGAAATTTGCAACTGGATGAAACCTTTAAAAGTCTGTTTGTTTACTTCCAAAGATTTTGGATGAATAACATTCAGCCTAATGGTTTTTCGGTTTATGGGTTCAGTATAAAAACTAACAATTTTATCGAAAGCTTCCATTCTACCCTTAGAACTATTATTGGCCATCATCTGCAAGTGTGGACATTTTATGGTAATCATAACACAATTAGTTTGAAATATGTTTTACTTGATATATTCTACAATATTTACATGTTTTATATTTTTTCCATCAACTCAAAACGTTAGCGCAAGCCCAAATTTACATCACTTAATATAACTACAACAAATATTGATCAAGATGATTGACAGTATGATATTCTGATAGCTTAACTGGTTTTTAATATTTTGTAAAACAATCAAATTAAAAAATTAACTTAAAATTCAAGTTAAAAAATACAACAATTTTAAAATCAGTTTTGCTATTTGAACATTATACTATTAATTAGCACTTGCTGTAGTTATAACAAATAATGTAAATTTAGGCTTGGCAACGTTTTCGCTTAAACTAAAAATAATGGGAGAAATTTTAAACACTTATTAAATAGCACTTTTATTTTTAAATTAAAAAAATATATATATATTTCTAGATTTAGGAAACATGAATATATAATATTTTTGTATGAAATAATTGAAATTATCACAAAAAATAGGACCAGGGTATAATATAAAGATCATACTTACTTATTTTAAAATTGTAGACAGACTTCGTTACATTGAAAATCGGGTACGCCGAGAAACTTTGCAAATTCCTAATGGGCAGCAGTAATACAATGCTTTTACTGAAAATGTTAATATCATAAATATAGTTAATAAGACAAATTTGTAGAACATTATACAAGTTTTAAATTTCACACATTGTTTTAAAAGGTATGAAGATCCATAATAACTAGTAGAGATACTAACCATTTCATTTTGCAAGGTGCTCTACAAAATGTCCAAAATGGGAGGTATAATGTGACTGGGTTTTTGAAAAGAGTGGCATATATGACTCAAGGTTATTGGAATCAGGAAATTGGTTCATTAGTCATGGGTAAACATCCAGCTTTAAAAAAAACAAGAAAAATACTGATTGTGAGTGGTTCTTTTAATGCCCCATACTAGTAAACTTTTTAAATCAGGGCTGTGCGCTTTTATTTTGAAAAAGTTCTTATTCTAACATACTTTTTTTTTAGGAACTCTTGACACAGTTTGTACAAGAACTTTTTTGTTAGACTTTTTATTATTAAGTTGTTTCGAGAACTCCATCATAAGAACATTTATAAAAAAAGTTCTTCAAAAAACTTTTTGAGAATTTGTTCTGATCTTTAAATGTTATTTAACTACATAAACATTCTGTAAGTGATTTCAATAAATTTAATTAACTTTTCTATTCAAAAAATAAATTATATGTGAATTAAAATTAGTGATGTGAACTAAATCCGGATTTTTAGTTTTACAATGCTTATTTCTGTTTTTTAAACCTGAAAGTCAAATTTTAGGTTCTTATTTAAATTGTAATATGTATATCAAATCATTTTAATTTTTAAATTCTAAGATACTGTGTTTTTATTTTTAAATGTATTTGTATAATTGATTTATTTAGTGTAGCTATTTCCGATAACGACCGATTATTATATATATGTATATACATAGATCTAATAAATGATAATGTAAAAACCGGCTTATTAGTAAACCAAGCATTAAGACTTTTTATGGGTTTTGGAATCCAAAACCAGATATTTATTGTAATTCCTGATTTCAGATTTTGAAACTCTGATTTTTTATTTTTTTAAGCATTTCTTGTAATAAAACTGTTTTAACAAAAATTCATTTGTGATAAATCAAATACATTTTGACAATTACTGAACTTAATCATAAATAGGCATTAATAAAAAAACAACAAAAATAGCCATAACGACAACTAAACAATATAAACTCATTTAGCTTAATATATCATATAAAATAAATAACAAAATCAATATGTATCAACTTAAGTAATAAGTATAAATTATAAACGAATAATAGTTGTAAATAATATTCTATAATAATAACAATAACAATAATAATAATTGTCTGCAAATTGTAAACCTAACAGTAAGCAGAAGAAAGAAAATAATTTATTACAATAATAAATAATCTTAATATTATAATAGCCGGTATAATAAATGTTTTTAATAATAATAATTGTTATAAATTAGGTACCTATAAATGGCATATTATAATTATATTTTCAATTTTTTAATAATAATAATTATAATAATAGTAATAAATTTGGTTATTTTACAGTGTCATTTTAAAGCGCGTTTTTCAAAAACACCAAAGCTGATAAATGGTAAGGAGTCATTCAGTTTCGCTTTGGTGTTATAATATTACCAGCTGTCGAAAATACGCGTTCAGATGATGCTGATGAAGCGGGAATGCATAATATGTTTTTTGCTAGAATCTACACAGTGGGATATATGTTTTCACGTGATTTCCACCACAAAGAAGGATTCTCATTATGGTTCTGACAAATAGCAAGTAAATTCGTCTTCATCATCCTCCAAAAAGTGGCCCATTAGCTCGTCTAACATTGTTGGTTTTACAATTTGAATGTTATTACCGTCTGCAGTCGTCAAAACCGATGATATTTTCGATCGCACAGTTGCTCGAATACGGATTTTAATTTGCTCGGATGGTTCAAAATTGAGATCAATGGGACAGCTGCCTGCCTCCAATATTATTCTCCCTTCGTAATAGAGTCAACAGATTCACGGGAGTGACACCAGCGACTTTGGCTATCGGGAGGGAAGCCAAATCGCCCGGAGACTGGTTAATAATGACCGAAAGAAAACCGGAAAACCCGATCAAGGATGGGTGTGATCAACCTCCCACCGGAGAAGTTGTTACCTTCCGGCAAGACACCGGAAACGACCGGGGGATTTCGGAGAAACTCCGGCGGTGACTACGACTACCCGAGTAAAAACTCCATCCGTGGGGGACTGGGTATATCACAGGGCACACCACCTATCTAACGCCGGAAAGAAATTTCACGCGGGGTTCGCCCCGAAGTGGCTAGGTCCGGTTAAGTACGTAAAAAAGTTGGGTCCCGGGTTTTTATGACCGGGGGAAAACGCCCGACTAAACTCCATTCGTCAGCGCTGAAACCGGCCAATGACACTTTTCTTAAAAATGTTGTTGTTTCAGGAGCACACGATGGAACCCGGACGCGGAAGTAAGGGCACCTATCCAACCACCAGCCCGGATGGAGTGGTACTCGGAGCGGAGGCAGGCGCTTAGGACGAGGCCAGGATTAGGTTCCTCCAACCTGACCTAATTGTCGACCGCCTGGAGCTGATGGAGATGGAACCGGATGTCGATGCCATCCTGAACGCCCCACCAATCCAGCTGCCTTAGATGCCCGACCGGCCGGACTAGGGGGGAGTATGACGCGGTCGCACCGCAACCCCAGCCGGTGGCGGATGCTAACTACATTCGTCACCGCTGGGTGGCGACCGCATCCGCTACTTTAGTCCGTCAGGTCGCGGATCGGCAGCGCGAACCGGTCGCCGCCGCCAGCTGACATCACTTCCTGATATCACGGTCTCAAGGACGTTACCGTTTAATACAAAAAAATATTGTTAATCTGTGTTTAATAAAGTCACCCGTGATTACAACACCCCGTGTTTTTAATTAATCGAGTTAATCCTCTCCGTACGACCACAACACGTCTCACGGTATAACGTCATCTTAACCGGTTTTGAAAAATTATTTTAAAGGTGTAAGATTTTAAAATTTACGATTGGAGACAAGTGCTGGTAGATTAAAATAATTCTACACTCCACCTTTCCTTCGGCCCTAAACATAAAACTTCAATAACTTAATCGATCAATCAATATGTTTAGTACATTATTGTGAATAAAAAGTTAAAATGAAATGTATGCATTGCCATTTTAAGGGGACAAAGATAGCAATATTTGACCAAAATTTATCTAGTAACCGTTTTTCAGTATGCCAACTAATTTTAATGTAAAAAAAAAATAAGTTAAAAAATAATAATAAGAAAATATGTTAAACTATATAACAAAAAAATTGATAAAATCGGGGTTCGGTTGACACTTCAGAAAGTGACTTCTTGCTTTAGTCTTTATTTATATAAAATTTAGCGCTTTTCGTTCCCCTTAATGCCAAGTTTAAGTGGTTCCATTGAATTTAAACAAAAACCTTACTCTATATACATTTAAAAATCTGAGAATTAAACCGAGAATTTGTACCGAGGACTACAATCTACCGGAGCTCTCTTAGTCCGATGACTAGATGGATCGTACTATGTTATCTTTAGACGACAAGGAAATTATTGAAAAAGTTCACCGATTAGGAACATTCATTTTGATATCTGTGCTTGAAAAAAAACAATACACGTACATCACCACATACGTTTTAAAAATGTTAACAGAATCGTCATTCCAGTCGACGAGTACACCTGCCCAGTACTTAGGTAAATGATATAATGAGTATTTACAGCCCCTTTCAAGCTTTGGCTTTGTTTTTATCGTTTATTTATTTATATTGTGTTGAGATAAACTGGCTCTCTATAGTTAACAATGTGTACACACACATGAGTGCATTGTGTTTGATTGTTGCAGAATGTTTGCACGTTTTATGCAAAAGTCAATATGCAAAATTGATCGAAAACAATGGTGACTTGTTGAGATTGATAAGAGGTATGCCACTAGGACAAACACATAAAGTGTTACACGCGACAAAGATTGTATTCAAGTCGTCGACAATTGTCAAGAACAATATAATGATTATGTTGAGAAAAGAACTACAATCGAAGTACGTGTTTACTTTATATTACAATATTTTTGCCTAAACATTGACGATTATCTGAGCTCATTCTTCTGGTTGATTTATAAGACTAATGTTGGGTCGCACAAAACGTGAGGGGCATAAACCGTTTCTGAACCAATCTGTGGTTTAAATGGCCTTTACATCTGTGTGTCTTTGGTTGAAAACCACTCCTTCTATTTTTAAAAAGCTCAACCCGACAGTGGTTTTAAAATAGATATAGATTTCCCTAATACTACACTTGCCGGATGCATCGATCGTAGTACATTTTTAATTTTAATTTAAAATATTTTTTTGAATATGTAACAACCGTAATTTTTCAAATAAAAAAATAATTAGTTGAATAATTGAAAATAACTTTAAAACTGTGCCACAATCAATACCTTGTAAATTTTCTAAAGAATACAAGTACTTACAATAGTAATAAACAAAAACTTAGTATTAACAAAAATGTTCAAGTAGAAACGTACGTTTTTGAACAAAAATTGGGTGTGTGATAAAATAGTTGATGAAAAAAAAAATATTAAATATCAAAATTTATCTATTTGTTGTGTTAATACAATATGAGTTTAGCTTAATGTAAAAATTACCTTTATGCATGCGCCAAAATAAATTACAGTGTAGAAGTATTATATTATATGTGTTTATTATTTTTTTATACTTAACATTACATTATACGGTTACAGGGATTTACTAGTGAGATGTAGTGCCGTTAATGGATTATTAGAAATATTACGGTCCGTTTTCATGGATGATTTCAATTCGACAAATCACTTCATCGCCTGGTCTTTTTACTCAGGTAATATTTTATGGTTTAACCGAATGTTTAGGACTAGATTTCTGATTACAGATGTAAATAAATAAATATGGTATCTTTTAAGTTTGGTTTATTTTTAATAATTCGATACATTGAGACAAAGTTGTTGGGTTTTTTTTTTTATAATCATATTATACATTTTTTTAAATACCATATATTAATGCAAAAAAATAAAAGCCCATGTGTTATTTTTATTACACGTTGTGTAACAATAATATTATATATATATATAAATAATATTACCGTTAAAATTTAATTTGTGAAAAATTTTAGATTAATTAATTATAATCAAAATACACTAATATAATTACATTAATTTGTATAATAATTATTAGGTGACTTTGTGTAATTTAAAAAACAACTACTCAAAAGATTTGCCACACGACATTAAAGAATTGTGCTTAGAAATAATAAACTTATTGAAAATTTGTCTACGTCAAAATGCAATAGTAAAATCTTTGTTCTATAGAGGTTTATTAAAATTGTCTGTGAACAACTCGAATGTAGAATGTGCTCTAATTAGTATATTATTAGACCACCTGCGGTCGTATTTAAATTATTATAAACATGACGGAAAGATTTCGCTCAAGTTCGACAAGGCCATAATAATCAATCGCGATGGACCTACGATTGTTGTTAGTATGATACAAGTTATACGGACAGTGGCAGTCGTATGTGTGTGTGCACACATCATCGTACACGACTACGTCTACACCGCTGACTGTGATATTTTTCGATAATTTAACCCGATGTATTGTTATACTGATCGTAGGAACCGTTGGACGACGTTATCGTATTAGTTCAAAATTTATTTAATAATATGCTTGCAAACAACAGCTGTAATAGTGAGTTGCTAAAAAATATACTTGACCCGTTGGTCGATTTTTACAGTGAATGCAATTTAGATGAAGTTTACGTAAAAAAATTGATAAAATCGGGGTTCGGTTGACACTTCAGAAAGTGACTTCTTGCTTTAGTCTTTATTTATATAAAATTTAGCGCTTTTCGTTCCCCTTAATGCCAAGTTTAAGTGGTTCCATTGAATTTAAACAAAAACCTTACTCTATATACATTTAAAAATCTGAGAATTAAACCGAGAATTTGTACCGAGGACTACAATCTACCGGAGCTCTCTTAGTCCGATGACTAGATGGATCGTACTATGTTATCTTTAGACGACAAGGAAATTATTGAAAAAGTTCACCGATTAGGAACATTCATTTTGATATCTGTGCTTGAAAAAAAACAATACACGTACATCACCACATACGTTTTAAAAATGTTAACAGAATCGTCATTCCAGTCGACGAGTACACCTGCCCAGTACTTAGGTAAATGATATAATGAGTATTTACAGCCCCTTTCAAGCTTTGGTTTTGTTTTTATCGTTTATTTATTTATATTGTGTTGAGATAAACTGGCTCTCTATAGTTAACAATGTGTACACACACATGAGTGCATTGTGTTTGATTGTTGCAGAATGTTTGCACGTTTTATGCAAAAGTCAATATGCAAAATTGATCGAAAACAATGGTGACTTGTTGAGATTGATAAGAGGTATGCCACTAGGACAAACACATAAAGTGTTACACGCGACAAAGATTGTATTCAAGTCGTCGACAATTGTCAAGAACAATATAATGATTATGTTGAGAAAAGAACTACAATCGAAGTACGTGTTTACTTTATATTACAATATTTTTGCCTAAACATTGACGATTATCTGAGCTCATTCTTCTGGTGATTTATAAGACTAATGTTGGGTCGCACAAAACGTGAGGGGCATAAACCGTTTCTGAACCAATCTGTGGTTTAAATGGCCTTTACATCTGTGTGTCTTTGGTTGAAAACCACTCCTTCTATTTTTAAAAAGCTCAACCCGACAGTGGTTTTAAAAATAGATATACATTTCCCTAATACTACACTTGCCGGATGCATCGATCGTAGTACATTTTTAATTTTAATTTAAAATATTTTTTTGAATATGTAACAACCGTAATTTTTCAAATAAAAAAATAATTAGTTGAATAATTGAAAATAACTTTAAAACTGTGCCACAATCAATACCTTGTAAATTTTCTAAAGAATACAAGTACTTACAATAGTAATAAACAAAAACTTAGTATTAACAAAAATGTTCAAGTAGAAACGTACGTTTTTGAACAAAAATTGGGTGTGTGATAAAATAGTTGATGAAAAAAAAAATATTAAATATCAAAATTTATCTATTTGTTGTGTTAATACAATATGAGTTTAGCTTAATGTAAAAATTACCTTTATGCATGCGCCAAAATAAATTACAGTGTAGAAGTATTATATTATATGTGTTTATTATTTTTTTATACTTAACATTACATTATACGGTTACAGGGATTACTAGTGAGATGTAGTGCCGTTAATGGATTATTAGAAATATTACGGTCCGTTTTCATGGATGATTTCAATTCGACAAATCACTTCATCGCCTGGTCTTTTTACTCAGGTAATATTTTATGGTTTAACCGAATGTTTAGGACTAGATTTCTGATTACAGATGTAAATAAATAAATATGGTATCTTTTAAGTTTGGTTTATTTTTAATAATTCGATACATTGAGACAAAGTTGTTGGGTTTTTTTTTTTTATAATCATATTATACATTTTTTTAAATACCATATATTAATGCAAAAAAATAAAAGCCCATGTGTTATTTTTATTACACGTTGTGTAACAATAATATTATATATATATATAAATAATATTACCGTTAAAATTTAATTTGTGAAAAATTTTAGATTAATTAATTATAATCAAAATACACTAATATAATTACATTAATTTGTATAATAATTATTAGGTGACTTTGTGTAATTTAAAAAACAACTACTCAAAAGATTTGCCACACGACATTAAAGAATTGTGCTTGGAAATAATAAACTTATTGAAAATTTGTCTACGTCAAAATGCAATAGTAAAATCTTTGTTCTATAGAGGTTTATTAAAATTGTCTGTGAACAACTCGAATGTAGAATGTGCTCTAATTAGTATATTATTAGACCACCTGCGGTCGTATTTAAATTATTATAAACATGACGGAAAGATTTCGCTCAAGTTCGACAAGGCCATAATAATCAATCGCGATGGACCTACGATTGTTGTTAGTATGATACAAGTTATACGGACAGTGGCAGTCGTATGTGTGTGTGCACACATCATCGTACACGACTACGTCTACACCGCTGACTGTGATATTTTTCGATAATTTAACCCGATGTATTGTTATACTGATCGTAGGAACCGTTGGACGACGTTATCGTATTAGTTCAAAATTTATTTAATAATATGCTTGCAAACAACAGCTGTAATAGTGAGTTGCTAAAAAATATACTTGACCCGTTGGTCGATTTTTACAGTGAATGCAATTTAGATGAAGTTTACGTAAAAAAATTGATAAAATCGGGGTTCGGTTGACACTTCAGAAAGTGACTTCTTGCTTTAGTCTTTATTTATATAAAATTTAGCGCTTTTCGTTCCCCTTAGTGTTTTCGATGAGCTACTGTTGGCTCAGTAAAAACGTGCAATGCGATAAACTACAAAAATTAATAAAAAATTACAATAAAATCACAGACAGTGTTAAAGTAAAAATTAAAAAAAAATTTTTTTTTTCAAATATACGTTCTAAACTTGTTGTTTAGCGAGCTGAAAAACTTAAAAAAATGTATTACAAATGATCAATCGTCAGATCATAAATTTAAAGCTGAATTTGTGGAGCCCATAATTTTTTTTAAACTTTGAATCGTTATTCAACTGTTTGTGTTTATTAATGTAAGAATTTCGCGTGTTATAGTTTTTTAGTTGCCGATGAATAATAATACTTATGATTTATTTATTTTTTAAATGTGTAGCTATACCGATTGGAAGACGAATAGACGAATAACGTTGCCATCGGTTGAAACGAATGAACTATGGTGTTTTGTTCTCAGGCTACTCCAGAATTATTTATGTTTCGTAGAAGAACAATTAAAAAACAATGAAAACCCTCCAAATTTGTACGAAAACCTATGCAACGTTACCAAGTAAGGATATAATTTGCTGCATCTTTGCTTATTAGGAATGTAATTAATTAGTTTATTTATTTTTATATCTCTAAACTCATACTTCATTAACATATCGTTAGGTTTTATTGTTATTTATATATATTTATTTTAAAAAAAAATATGTTGCAGGTTGTTGTACAGCCATTTCCTATTTAATTTTCTTGAAGCGCTACGGTGCTTTGGTTACCTTGTGGTCAAACAAGTGCTGGAATGTTACGTACAAATTCTTTCGATCGTGTGTTCGAATAGGGTGTATTTAAACGATTTGGATAAATTCATATCGGATTGCTGTAAGTAGAAAAAAAAATATGCTTACGATACATAATGATATATATTATACAACTGTTGTGTTTTGTTAACCCTCAAAAAATAGATGCACATTTTTTAGTCTACGACAAACAAGTAGAACTATTCAGTGTTTTGAACAACACCATTTCTTATCTGGACGATTTAATTAGTTGCAATCAACTGAAAAACATAAGTTTGATCGAAAGTATCGAATACCAGTTAATAAAATGTATATCGATAATTGGATTTTCCATCGAAAACGATAGTGCTAAACTTCAAAACGTAATGTTATTAATTATTTATTACTTAACGACACTTTAACGTGAAATACGTATATATATGTATAGTAGTTTAATCCGACTCTCTAATACCACCCCTTTTAGGTGTTAACGAAATTAACAAAAGTAGCAGAACAACATTCTTTTGTGGACAAAAACAATGCTAATACATTTTTGATAACCACGTTGAAATTGTGTTGTGCATTTCAAAACCACAAGGACAATATGAATATGTTGGCCGGTTGGGCGCAGTCATCTTCCAAATTAATTGGACGTATCGACGGCAAAAGCACAGATTTCAATATGAAATGTTTAAAATTGAAAACCGTGTTTAACAACTCTACGCTGTCGATGGAACTATGTAAATGTTTACGCGAAGAAATCAAACACATATCGTGGAGTTTGTCCAAGCTTGAAGCGGAGAAAAAAGTTTCCACTTCGGCGACCGTATGCCCCCTCAAACAAAACAAAACGTTTGTTCAGGACCATTTGGAAACCGTGGAGACAATCATCCAACAAACGATAAAAGCAATGTCGATCGCAAACTATTTCGTACAATCAAAAAAAATACCTTTAGGGCAGATGACGGAATTTTTATTTGAAACCGTTTGCGATTTAATCAACGCGATAAACGGCATAATTAAATTATTCCACGATTGTTCGACTGCCGAAGATCCGACTTATAAAACTACATCGTTGAGTACAGTTAATAATATGTTATTACATTTTTACCACTTGTTGTAAATTACTGGTGTAGTAATTTGAATTGCCGGATACTATAATGTTTATTAACACGTCGATTCTATTGTAACAATGACAACAAAAAAACAAAATATTTTTAATCGATAAAATCACAAAACGACGGTACCCGCCATGTTTGTACCGCGTCGGTCGCTCCACATTGTTCGACCGTTTTTAGAAAAGGTCACTTGCGTCCCCGTTGACCTTTTTTTTTACAGTACCTTGTTGTGCATCCCTAACGTGTTATGATGCGCATCGAGATTTTAAATATAAAATATAAATTTAAATCTCTACAAAACGTCTTTTTTTTTTTGTATAGGCCCGCATATATATGTACCTACCTACAATCAGTGTGAGTCATAGTGGTATTATATATTATAACCGCCGTCAAAATAATTTTTTATTTCTAAATATACTTATTTTTTTTTTTTTTAATATTTCAAAGTCGAGTTTATTGTACAATACCAGTAAATAAATTGTAAGCTACGTTTCACACAAAGCGATAATAAAATCTGCCTTTTGTGTGACACTATCCGCGTCACTTCGTTAACATAGGTACATAGGTAGGAGCTTAATCAGATTAAATTGCCTGGCAACAGGATCGAAATTATTATCATCTCGGTGTCGACCCCTGTATTAAAATGTTATTTTTATTCGACATACCAATTATATCGAATAAGTGTACTCGCAAACCATTGCACAGAAGTTTTTATTATTTTAACAGCGAAAAAACTCCTCTCTGCCGAAGCTATACTAACAGCTGTAAAACTAGCTAAAATCTTTAAAAGTGAATGTATTGTTGGAAACATATCTTTATCACAATATGTTCTAATGAGCTGTATCGGGAATATAATTTTTTTCTTTATTCCAATGATCTTTCCATCAAATCATTTTCCCTTGCAACTTTTCAATAAACGCTTCTCTATTCGTAAATATGTCATTTAATCCACGAATATACATGAAACTGATTCCAATATTTGTATTTTGTTTTCTTGTATTTTAGAAATTAATATTTTTGGCACAAATAATCCACAATATTATACACGCCCAATGTTTCTTCTGTAAATCTGGATTTCATATCACAAAATATAAAAACGGAATGTATACTGTGTTACACGGGAATAGTCTTCTACATTTTTAATCTCTGGATTTTGTCTGTGATGATGGTGTATTGATATTGTTCTTGGCTTTTTTACAGTATCTCTAATATCTCTATATTTTCCACAGCTTTGAAATATAAATCTTCAAACTCTGTTTTGCCGTCTAATATAAATATTTATTTAAATAGTTCAATAGTTTTATTCATGCAGTTAACTGCAGACTGTTTATCAACAATAATGTGAAAATATATGTGAAGCAACGTAGTAAAGAATGATGACGAATTCGCAGTCTATTGAATTTAATAAAACCTTGGCTTTACTAGATGCGTCTCGATCATTTCAATTGCTTATTTTACGAAGAGAATCCATAAATTATGAAATTCCCGTCAAAAATTACAGGTCATTGCTGTATGCCGCTTCTCAACTCACTTAGTTTCACTATAATTAGAATAATAGAATAGAATAATTTCCGTTAATTTGTCCAAAACTATTCCGGATAGACTGAATTTGACAGCCCTTGGAAATTCTAGATTCTAGAATTTTAGATACAAACTATGGTTAAAACACGGACATCTTACAGGAACAATGCAGGTGAAAGTGGGCACCCTTGTCTCACACATTTTTGGATTCTGGCAGTCGCTGTTGTTGAATTAATATTAATAATGGTTTCTTGTTCTTCATAAATCTTATAGAGAATACGCCTGTCTTTAAAATCTATCTCTGTTTCTTCCAAAATTTTAAAGAGACTTGTCCAATTTATGCTATCGAATGCTTTTTCTTTTTTGTCTCTCAATTTGCTTTTCGAGTATTACTCTCAGACCTAAAATAGCCCCTCTGGTTCCTTTGTTTTTCCGAAAACCATATTGATCGTTCGCTATCCTAGCTTCTATCCTCTTACTTATCCTTTTGCTTATAATTATTGTTAGTAATTTAGCTGTATGTGATATCAAGTTTAAGGTCCTGAAATTTCCGCACTGGTTGGCTTTAGGTTTTTTTGGTAGGATAACTAATCTACTATATCCAAAATCTCTCGGAATTTTCCCAGTCTCGTATATTTGACATAACAATTCGTACAGAGCGTTCTTTATTTCATCTCCTGTCTATTGTAGGAGTTCTGTATTTAATTCGTCTGGGCCTGGTGCTTTGTTTTTCTTCATTGTTTAAAGTGCGTCTTCAAATTCTGATTTTAGAATTCCTGTATCTGCATTTGAAACAAAGTCACCGTCAGTTGGGTTTTCAACGAGTAAGTCGGTGTTTTCTTCTTCTCCATATAGTTCTTCTACGTATTCTTTCCATCTATTCGCTATCGCTATCTCGTCTATAAGTAAATTCCCTTCTTTATCCTTTACGTGCCTGCATTGTGACTTTTTTTCACTGAAGTATCGTTTGATGAGTTTATATGCCTTGCCCTGTTGGTTGTATTTCATCATATTTTCTATTTCTTCACAATTCTTTTCGATCCACATCTCTATGGCTTTTTTTGATTCGCGGTTTATTTTATTTCTTAATGTCTTTTACTTTCTTCATCTGTTTTGTTTTTAAGCAATCTTCTTCTTTCTATATCTTGAACTATTTCCATTGTTATCCATTCGCATTTCGGTGCTGGTTTCTTCTCAGTTAATATTTCTTCTGCAGACTGGACAATAGATTCTTTTGTGCGACGCCATCCATGTTCTATATTATTACAATCATCTATCCTCGCTTACTCTTGGTTATAAGTTTTTCTTTGCTTTTCTTTTCAAACAGTTCTCTTATTTCTAATTGCTTTAGTTGACACATATTCCATTTATGCCCTTTATTTTTTGGTTAAATATATAAATAATTATTTTATGTATATTATATATATATATATATACCATATTCCGATATATTTTGTTTATATATTTCAAAGTCCTTCCACGTAAAGTAATTAGGAAAGCACTATTTAAATAGCTAATGCAGTTAATTGCTTCCCAATTTATGGTAAAAAGAGAAACACAATAAAGTATATAGTTAAGAAAACAAAACTAAAATATTAAATTAATTATAACTGAATCAAATAACATTTATTTAGTCAATAAAAAAAACATTTATTTACAATATGGTACAATACAATGCAGTATAAAATTTGTAATTTTTATTTATTTTATTATTATTTTAAGTATGAAGAAGAGGCATTGCATGAATTGCTTCTTTTTCTTCAGTACTAATGTCCAAAAGAACCATTTTATGAAGCACAGTTTCGAGTTTGACTTCGTGATGATTTCGTCTTGTCTTGGTTATCTTCCACATTGATAAAGTACTTAAAAAAAAAATATGCATATGGCGTATTGACCGGGAGCGGCTATGGCTAACTTTATGCCAGTTCGGTCGCCGGGGTGCATGGCATTCCAGCCATTTCATCTGGGGTTGATAGTGTGGGTCGCCGCTAAAAATCCCGGGTGGTCACCCATCCGGGATCAAGCAGACCAAACCTCCCGGATAAAGTACTCGAATCACAAGGATAAGTAATCATTGGTTTTTTAATATACATTGATTGTCCAGAAACTGATCATCACCATTTGCCATATAGATTTCATCAATTTCTATAATATTTTTTATCTAATAGCACAATTTTATTCGGAGATATAGATCTGAAAATTGCACCATTGTACTTCAATTTTTTCACTTTAATCTTGTTAAATTTGTTAGGTTTTAATTTTTTTAGTATTTCAAGTTTTGGCGGAAAATTTGTTTTTTTTTCTTTCCGTGAAATGAAGCTCATGTTATCGACGACAAATTTGTTGTACTGGGCGATATCCAGTTCTTAATAGGCTTTGAATTTTATGCAATTCACTCTCGAAGGGAAATGCAGTAATCTCACTCAAGGTACATCCCATATTCATAACATCGTCAGCAACGTGAACAAGGCTGTGATGAACATTAAGGACTTGATTTTTTTTCCATACAATTCTTCACTTAGAAGAACACATGTTTTCAGTAGCGATTTAGCTTGAGGATTCCAAACAAAAGCCATTTCTCTAGAACCTAAAACCCGCATAGCTATGTGATATAATAACATACAATTTTTAAAATAATTTTTTTTTAAATTACTGTTGCTGCATAAGCAGCTAAAAATCGGAACTGAATGGCTTTCCACTTAACAACATTTGTCAGTGATGCAGTAGAACGTTGAAACTCTTCGGTGACCTGACTTTTAAATTGCAATAAATAAACTGAAAACTGGTCTCTCTGTGCTCGACTGAATTTTGAGTCAGCAATGTCTCCATTCATCCATGTGTCCACAAAGAATTTTTTCTTTGACATAATTGTCTGGACAATTTATGAGGTATACTGCCATTATACCACATTAAAAGCATAGTTCGGGTAACACCAAGGAGGACCAAATGCATGTAATCTAGTACAAACGCATTTATAAAATCTAAACCGGGTATTCTTATGAGTGGAGTATCTTTTCTACGAAATTCTACGTCTTTCCAACAAAGAAAATCTTCATTTGTTCTGAGTTTACAATTCAACTCAGTGAAAATTCGACGTCCATTACTTGTTGTACCTTTTACAGTACACTTAGTACATGAAAAATAGCCTCCATGACCTTTGGTACCTAGTATATCACTTTTTGCAGGACTATCACAACAAAAACATACAATTTCAACTGGTATACTTATTCCATTAATACTTGTTATTCCGTTTTCTGTTAGGTATTTTACTTCTTCGACAAACACTTCTAAAAAGTTGGATATGTTATCAGGCTTTCCATGCCCACAGTAAAAACCTACAGGGAATACTTTACTTTGTATATCTGTTAGATCTGATATTACTGAAAATAAAATGGGAATCACTTGGCAGGATGAACTTTTAAATAAAGGTAAGCCATCGATATTGAAAATTAGTTTAAAACTATTTATAGGTTTTTTTGAATAA